TTTGTTTTACTTTCTTGTTTTCCTCAGTAAAATATGAAAGACTCACAGTGCGTTTTCCCTTACTAGACACCAGGGCCCTCCTTTGATACATATTGCAAAGTTTGGTTGTCCAGTCGCCAGCCAGCACCTGCTGATTGTCTAACCTGTATGGCCCCAGATCACCACTTACCTGGATGAAGGGCCAGGTCTGCGAGCCCCGGAGCAGCCCTGCAGGGCTTGATGTCAAAGCCCTTGACCCGAGGAAGTCTGGGCTCAAATAGGCCACGGCCAAGCCTTCGGTGATGGGCTGGGTGCCAGGCCCCTGCCCCTCACCTTGCTGAGGAACTCATCACCAGGGGCTCTGGGCAGCCCTTACCATCCCCACCTTCTCTGCCTCGCCGAAAGCAAACACTTGCTTCTACGATCATCCACTGGCTGCTGCCCACACTCTCTGGTCCAGTGTAACCCCTCGGATACCTGCCAGGACGGCCCAGGGACTTGTGGGAAAGTACCTTTACCAAAAGAGCTTTGGTTGTAAAGGAAAATTTCTTTATCCAGAAAAAGAATTACTCAAGTACTGTTCCCATGTGTGGGGGGGTGCTCACTGTGTCCGACTCTTTTATGACCCCGTGGACTGTAGCCCTCCAGGCTCCTCTGTCCGTGGGATTTTCCAGGCAAGGATACTGGAGTGGGTTGCCATTTCTGCCTCCAGGAGATCTTCTTGACTCAGGGATTGAACCCGTGTCTCTTGCATTGCAGGCCAATTCTTTACCACTAGTGCCACCTAGCTAGCGGCTGTTCAGCCTCTCAGTTGTGTCTGACTCTTTGGGACGCCCCTGGACCGCAGCACGCCAGGATCCCCTGCCCTTCACCATCTCCCAGAGCTTGCTCAAACTCATGTCCATTGAGTCGGGGATGCCATCTCACCCTCTGTTGTCCCCCTTCTCTTGCCTTCAATCTTTCCCAGCATTGGGGTCCTTTCTAATGAGTTGGCTCTTCGCCTCAGGTGGCCAAAGGATTCGAGTTTCAGCTTCAGTCCTTCCAATGACTATTCAGGGTTGATTTCCTTTAGGATTGACTGGTTTGATCTCCTTACAGTTCAGGGGACTCTCAAGGGTATTTTCCAACACCACAGTTCAAAAGCATCAGTTCTTCAGCACTCAGCTTTATGGTCCAACTTTCACATCCATATATGACTATTGGAAAAATCATAGCTTTGACTAGACAGAACTTTGTTGGCAAAGTAATATCTCTGCTTTTTAATATGCTGTGTAGGTTTGTCATAACTTTTCATCCAAGGAGCAAGCATCTTTCAATTTCATGGCTGCAGCCACCATCTGCAGTGATTTTGGAGCCCAAGAAAGCAAACTCAGACACTGTTTCCATTGTTTCCCATCCATTTGCCGTGAAGTGATGGGACCAGTTTCCAAGATCTTAGTTTTTTGAATATTGAGTTTTAAGCCAGCGTTTTCACTCTCCTCTTTCACCTTTATCAAGAGGCTCTTTAGTTCTTCTCTTTCTGCCACAAGGGTGGTGTCATCTGCATATATGAGGTTATTGATAATTTATCCCAACAATCTTGATTCTAGCTTGTGCTTCATCCAGCCCGGCATTTCACATGATGTACTTTGCATAGAAGTTGAATAAACAGGATGACAATATACAGCTTTGACATACTCTTTTCCCAATTTGGAACCAGTCTGTTGTTCTATGTCTGGCTCTAACTATTGCTTCTTGACCTGCATACACGTTTCTCAGGCGGTAGGTAAGGTGGTCTGGTATTTAAGGCGAGGGTGGGATGTTTCAAGAGAACAGCATTGAAACACGTATATTATCTAGGGTGAAACAGTTCACCAGCCCAGGTTGGGTGCATGAGACAAGTGCTCGGGCCTGGTGCACTGGGAAGACCCAGAGGGATTGGGTGGAGAGGGAGGTGGGAGGGGGGACCGGGATGGGGAATACATGTAAAAAAAAAAAAAAAAGATACACTATGGTTGTGATAAAAAAAATAAATAAATAAATAAATAAATTTTAAAAAAAAATAAAATAAAGATTATTTTGCATACTTAAAAAAAAAATAAATAAAATAAAATAAAATACCCTCAAAAAAAAAAAAAAAAAAAGACAAAGGGAGACCTTGGACGTAGAAGCAACTGTGAAAAGAAAATATTCACAGAAATCTTATGTGAGTACTGGAATATCCTTACTCTGTAGATAATGGGAAGATTTACATGGCTTTGACACTAGAATCACAATAGCTATCTCTAAATGAGTAGTTAAAGATATAGTTATCATTGAATCTCTTGAAGAGCTATTTCTAAATACATAATCCAGGCCTCAACTCAATTATCATAGCTATTTGCAAGTAGAACCTAGGAATATATGAAAAAAATATATAAATACACCCTGTTAATGATTTATTTACTCAGCAGAATTCCGTATTACCAATGAAAAGATGCTTAAAATCTCTAATTAATAGAGAAATGCAAATCAAACAATGACATATAAAAAAAAAAAAAAAAAAAGAATTTGCTACAGTTTATTGTGATCCACACAGTCAAAGGCTTCAGTGTAGTCAATGAAACAGTAGATGTTTTTCTAGAATTCTCTTGCTTTTTCTATGATCCACCGATGCTGGCAATTTGATCTCTGGTTCCTCCACCTTTTCTAAATCCAGCTTGAACATCTGGAAGTTCTCAGTTCACATATTGCTGAAGCCTGGCTTAGAGAATTTTGAGCATTACTTTACTAGCGTGTGAGATGAATTCAATCATGCAGTAGTTTGAGCATTCTTTGGCACTGCCTTTCTTTCAGACTGGAGTGAAAACTGGCCTTTTCCAGTCCTGTGGTCACTGCTGTGTTTTCCAGATTTGCTGGCACATTGAGTGCAGCACTTTCACAGCATCTTCTGTTAGGATGTGAAATAGCTCAACTGGAATTCCATCACCTCCACTAGCTTTGTTCGTAGTGACGCTTCCTAAGGCCTACTTGATTTTGCACTCCAGGATGTCTGGCTCCTGGATGGTATGAGTGATCACACCATCGTGGTTATCTGGGTCATTAATATCTTTTTTGTGTAGTTCTTCTTTACAAAAGGCATTGATCATTGCCTTCCTGAATGATCAATGCAAAGAAATAAGGGAAAGCAATAGAATGGAAAAGAGGAGAGAGCTCTTCAAGAAAATTAGAGATACCAAGGAACATTTCGTGCAATGATGGGTACAATAAAGGACAGAAATGGTATGGACCTAACATAAACAGAAGATATTAAGAAGAGGTGGCAAGAATACACAGAAGAACCTAGCTAGTACTGTTCACCGAATGACCAATGTTTTACCTTATGACTCCAGGAAGCATGTCCACCTCACACAAAAGGACCAGTTATTAAGCATAAGACTGTCTCCTGAGAACATTTATTGGTGGAGGGTCAGGATGAGAATGTTAGGATCAAGTCTTATCCTACATGTAACAGGAGGTTGCATCCTGAGTCTTAAGGGTCCATGAACTGCAGTGTAGGTCTAGTCCTCTGGTGCTGGGGTCTGACACCCCTTTCAAAGGCATCTTAGAGGGAATTTGGAGAAGGCCCAATGTCTTGCTTGTCTGCTATTTCCTTGTGTTTAGACAAAATGCAGGCTACGTAGGAAGTCTTCTCCAAAGCTGTGCAGGCCCATTGCTAGTATGCAGATGGAGACACATGCAAGATATGTTTAAATGTTTGAAAGATGTAAATCAAACCAATAAGTTGGCTAAAGTATTTCATAACCTCAGCTTTGACAGATCTTCCTTCAGATCTTCCTGGGTGGTGCTAGTGATAAGGAATCCACCTGCCAATTCAGGAGATACAGGAAATATGGGCTCAATCCCTGGGTTGGGAAGATCTCTTGGAGAAGGGAATGGCTACCCTCTCCAGTATTCTTGCCTGGAGAATCCCATGGACAGAGGAGCCTGGTGGACTATAGTCCAAGCATTCACCAAGAGTTGGACAGGAATGAGCATGTCTGACTTTGGCAAATCTACCTTCACATGGTCTAAAAGCCCAGGTTCAAGCTTAGAGCATGGCAGTGCAGGAAGATACAATCCCTGGTGTGAAGCCCACCCCATGTCTGTGGTCCACATTCTGTCCCACTGCCCAGAAACAACCTCTCCCTGACCTTTCAGTGGCAGAGATGATGTGTAATGGTGGGGATGAAAGAGAGACTTCTGATTTGAGCAATGAAAGATAAGCGATGCTTGTTTTTATCTTTCTGACTTACTTCATTCTGTATAACAGGCTTTAGGTTCATCCACCTCACAAGAACTGACTCAAATACCTTCCTTTTTATAGCTGAGCAATATCCCATTGTATGTATATATACCATATCTTCTTCATCCATTCATCTGTTGATGGACTTACAGGTTGCTTCCATGTCCTGGGTATTGTAAATAGTGCTGCAGTGAACACTGGGATAGAAGATTCCCTGGAGAAGGGAATGGCTACCTACTCCAGTATTCTTGCCTGGAGAATCCCATGGACAGTCGAGTCTGGTGGGCTACAGTCCATAGCGTAGCAAAGAGTTGGACATGAGTCTTGTTAACTGTTTTCTGAAAAATTATCAGTATTTTTAAGCTAAAATTTCTTATCAGTGGAATGAAGATGTTGGTAAAAGACAATATGACTAAATGAATGTTTAAAGCTATAAAAATGATTACTTACTATAATTACTCTAGTGATCCAGAAAGCCTATTCTTAGCTTCATTTGGTTTGTAATCTTTCTTCTAGTGATTGCTAGTCATAGCAATTGCTGGATTGGTAATATCACATTATAGGGACAACAGTGACTTCCCCAAAGGCCCCTTTTTAAGATTTCCCCTTTAAACTCTGATTTCATGCATTCAGTTTTGATTTGAACAGGTGGGGGTTGACATTTCCACCATCTTTCTTGCTGGGTGAAAATATCATCCAGTGTAAATTACATTTGAAGACTGCTGATCCTTTTCGGAACTCTGCAATTACTCAGCCACACATCCTCTCTTGATTTCAGACTATGAGCTGGTGTCTCCCTATGAGGTTGACCACAAGGGCAACTACGTGTCCCATGACATCACGCACCCCCAGAGGAGGAAAAGGGCTCTGGCCCAGCTCGGAGATGACTCTCTGCACCTTCGGCTGAAAGGCTTCAGGCATGACTTCCATCTGGATCTGAAAGCCTCCAGCAAGCTGGTGGCACCTGGATTTCTCATCCAGACTTTGGGAGAGCGGGGCACGAAATCAGTGCAGGCTTTCCCACCTGAGGACTTCTGTTTTTATCAAGGCTCCTTGCGATCCCACAAAAATTCCTCAGTGGCTCTTTCGACCTGCAAAGGATTGGTGAGTACAGCTCATGCCGCTGGCCATGAAGTCATGGGGACATGGGAAAGGGGACAAGTGACAAGATTTGCCTTGTACTTGGGGTTGTTCTTCCACCATTGCAGTACAGACTTCTTTGATTTGTCAAAGCAGGAGGAAAAACTGCCAAGTGGTGCTTTCTAAAGTGTGCTGGGTTGCTTCCTTCCCCCGCTTGGAAGCAACGTGAAGGTCCTGACTTCTGTCGTTGTTGTTCTGCAGTGAGTGAGGCAAGAGCACTGCAGCTTGAAAACTGTACGTAAGAACTTATGGCCAAGTCTGAAGGCTGTGATTTCTTTGGGCTTATTGGTTCTGACTTATTGGTTCCTTAAACATGCTGGTCACTTACTAGCACTGGAGGAATGTCTTAATTTTGAATAGAACAACGGTATTCAACTGATGGGCCATGTGGATATTTGATCTAGTGCTTGAAAGTGCCCTGTTTCTGCCATTCTGATGTTGGTGATGTATTTACACATTTGAGCATTCATTTCAAACCTAGTGATGAGTCCATGGCAGGCCAGTGCTGATCTTACTGGGCTAGAGATGCTACTGCTGTTTTCTTCTTGTCCTTAATATCTGAGCTACCAGGGAAGCCTAATATCTAAATTAGACATTAAACATCTTTGATACTGTAGGTGGTCCTCTTTGCTCCAAACCCAGAGTTAGGAGCATCAGGTCAACTTGAAAAGGTACGTGAATCCCTCAGGCTGACATAAGCTGAAATCTTAATGGCTTGCCTTTTACTTTTCTTAACATATTTCCATTTTAGAAGACAAAAGCTTAGAAGATGCTTAAATTCTTGGACACAAGCTAATTAGTCAGACACAGATCAGGGAAACATGACATAAGTAGCAAGCTGAAAAAAAATGTGTTGTTGAAGTAATAAGGTCTTGATCATGTTTGACAACCAGATTTTTGAACATTTCTTATATCTCCAGAAAATCATCTAAGCCTGTCTTATTCCTTTCCCTGTTTGGAAAGAGAATTCAGACTCTACATCTTGTAAGGATTTTGTGTGCATGTACGTGAATACTAGATGCTGAAGGGGCATCCATAACTAACTCCTTGAAATAATAAATATGTGAAAATGCTATGTTCTGTGAAATTTTTTTTTTAATTATCATTCTGCTTTTTAGGGAGACTTTGGTATGGTCTGGCCTCATGTCTACTATCTTTGGAAAGGCTTTTGGTTTGAGAACGGATACAGTGGGGAATCGTCAAGGGTAGGATGGTGGTGACTTGGCACACTTGTTAAGCGTGAAGATGGTGTGGTCAGTTTCTTCCACTGTTCTCTCGAGAAGCATAGACCTTCCTTAGTGAAAGAGCTATAACTCCTCATGTAAGGCTCTAAAGGAAGCTTCCTTGGCTTTCTTCAGCAAAGGCTCAGACCAGAAATGGGAGCCATCTTTGTGGTAGGGAGGTGCACCATGCCCTTCACAGCACCCTTGAGTTTGTTTCTGGAGGCTGAGTAAGGCGCTTGCTCCCTACTAACCCAGCAGGGGAGCAGGCTCATGGATGCCCTGGGTCTTGTGAGCCAAGGCTTTTCCATGATGGCTGAGCTATGCCCTGGAGTCTGTCCCATGAATAGAGTTGGTTGGCAGCAGCTTGAGATTTCTGGCTCTCTTTGAATTCAATGGGAGTTAACACCAAAAGCTGTAAATGGCAGCTACATGAAAGATAACGTGAAAGGAACCGAAAAAAGACTCCTCTGCATAATAAATGTTGGAATTTAATATTTTGGTGACTGGAATAGAAAGCTGTATGCTTTTACTATTAATCTTCCAAATACCTTAATTCCAACTAAAGTGATATTTTGTTCATAGAGGGTCACTGCATACATGACCTCAATTAGACTTATGAGTGTGCATTTCAGGGGCATTTACCATATGATAGGACAAATCAAAGGCATTTTAGGGAAGAAAAAAGGAGGGTTAAGAAGTCCTCTGTCTTTAGCCAGATAATAAATTTATTGAATGGCGATACCCCACGAATCACTGCCAAGTCTGTGATATCCTTCCTTGATTGATGGTTACCCCATCCCTCCTCTTTCAAATCTGTTAACACATGAAGAAAAATAGCATACCTTTTACATTACATGATGGTGCCTTTTTATTATTATTATTATTCTTGGTTCTTTCGGGTTCTAATTAAAGGTCCAGGTGGATATCAGTTAAGTCCTTTTTTACTGGGTTTCTAGATAATGCAGCGATCTGATGGGAATCAGGAGTGTGGTTCTGATTTATAGCAAGTACATATTCTTAAAGAAGAAAGAAGAAACCAAAATGAACATTTTGTTTTTAATTGTCTGAGAATAGTGAATGTGCTTCAGAAGTGTGCCTCGCCAGAGCCTATCAAAGTTGGGTCCAAGGAGTGCACTGTTTGATGAGAGAATGGGGGGATAGTTAATTTGCTATAGAGTGATAAAATAAGGACAGATATGGGTGTTAGGAGAACTGAAATGAAGACACCCAGCTCTACGCTGGTGAGAGGCAGCAGTGCCGGGGTAGTCTTCTGGAGGAAATATTGTGCGAACTGAATCCTTATTGTAGAAATGAAGTGTGATGCTTGTGAATGGAGGAGTAACAAGCAGTCTGGGGGAAGATCGTGAACATCAGTCAAGCTCATGGATCCTTGGTACCACCATCAGTGAGTGTTTGGAGTTAATATTTGTATATGAAGCCCAAGTATAGTAACTGAATAAGATCTGTAAACCTTAAAATGACTTCTAGTTTCATTCAAGTATCATCATGAGCCAAGCATGTATTGACTCATTTTGCTAAATAAGGTTAATTTAAAAAAAAATAGTATCTGTTGTACTTATGTCTCTACCAAATGATATCAGAAAACTGTTCACAAGCACATAAATGTGTGTTACACAGTAGGTGCTCTTCAGTATTTGTTAAATAAGGGATAGAATTATGGGGCTAATTGCAGTATAAGAAACAGTGATGGCCATGGCAGTAGCAGAAGGAACAATAACAACTTATTGAATGTCATTTACCAAAGACTTGCCTAATAGCTTCCCATTTATTATCTCAATTAGCATAACCATAACTCTACGAGATAGGTATTATCTGTAACACCTTTATTAAGATATAATTTATATGCCAATAGAGTTTCACCCTTTGAAAATGTATAGTTTGATGTTTTTTTAGTATATTCCCTGAGTTGTGTAAACATCACCACAATCTGAGACATTTACATCATCCCCAAAATAAATTTTTTATAGTCCAGCCCCTCTCATTTCTCTGAAACCTTCATCAGTCAGCCGTAGGCACCAATTTATCTAACATTCTGTGTTTATAGATTAGCCTGCTCTGGACATTTCTGATAAATGGAGGCATAAGATATGTGGTCTTTTGTGACTAACTTCTTTCATTTAGTATACAGTATTCAAGGTTCATCCATGTTGTAACATGTTTAAAGGTTTCATTATTTTTGTTGGTAAATAATCCTTTGTGTACATATGCCACTTTTTATTTTGATGTCTATCAGTTGATAGGCATTGTTTGTATTTTCTTTGGTTTTGTGAATGGTGTTGCTATAAACATTTGTGTTCAAGCTTTTGTGTAGACAAAAGTTTTTATCGCTTGAGTATATACCTGGAAGTGCAATTGCTAGATCATATGGGAATTCTGTGCTTAATATTTTAGCAGATTCTGAACCATTTTTCACAGTAGCTGCACCATTTTGCATCTGTCTAGCAATGTATAAGTGTTCCAGTTTCTCCACATTATGGAAAATGTTTATTCTTGTCCATCTTTTCTTCTTAGAGACATCCAAGTGGATATGAAGTGGTATCTTGCTGTGGTTTTGATTTGCTAGGTAGAGAGTATCGCTTGACAGTTTTTGCTTTTTGTTGTTTGTTGTGCATTTTTCCATCGGCATTTGAATATTCCATCCTGCTGCCATCTGGTTGTCATTGTTTCTGTTAAGAAGTCTTCTGTTTATCTCATTGTAGTTTTGTTATTCATAAAGCATTGGAGTTTTTGCTCTTGTTGCTGCTCTCAATGGGTCTTTGCCTTTCAACATTATTACTGTGCTGTGTATAGATGTGCATATGGTTGAGTTTATCCTTCTCAAAATTATATGAACTCCCTGAATATTCTTACTAATATTTTTCCTCAATTTGAAAAGTATTTGACCATTGTTTTCTCAACTATATTTTTCTGCTCCTTTCTTTCCTCTCCTTTGGTACTCTTGCTCTTCATATATTGGTGTGTTTAATGATATAGCACTTTTCCCTGAGGTTCCATTCATTTTTCTTCATTCATTTTCCTCTGTGCTCTTCAGATGTGTAATCTTGATTGACTGATCACCAAGCTTACTGATTCTCTGCTAGCAGTTCAAATCTATTGTTAAGCTTCTGTAGTAAAATTTTTATTTGGATAGTGTACTTTTCAACTTCAATTTGCTTCTTTTTATAATTTCTTTTATTCTGTATTTTATGAGATGTTGCTATTAGGCCTTGCTTGAATACTTTTGACATGGTTTCCTTTGGTTCTTTAAACATATTTATAACAGTGGCTTTGGAGTGTTTGTCTACTAAGTTAAACACCTAGATCCCCTTAGAAGCAGTTACCATTTCTTCTTTCTTTTCCTGTGTATGGGTCACACTTTTCTGTTTATTTTTGTGTCTCATAATTTCTTTGCTGAATACTGAGCATTATAGATAATATATTTTAGCAACTCTCAATATTCTGAGACTGACCATATGCCACCACTCAAGTGATTGTTGCTGTTGCTTTCTTTCTTGCTTGTTTAGTGACTACAGCAGTGAAGTCTGTTTTCTTTGCAACATGCAGCCTGCAGTGTGGCTTCTCAGAGAGAGAAGAGTTAGGGCATGTGCACAATCTCTCTGAAAGCCTGTGCTAATCTGCCTCTATTGGTATCACACCCAGCTCTTAGCCTACGTTAACTGCTAGGTGATTTTTTTGCAATCTTTTTAATAGCATGCTTGGTCTTGAATTGCTCCACAGTCT